TCTGATAACTAGTGGGTCAAATTCCTTAACACCACCCCTTGAAGAAGCAATATAAAGTCTGGGTCTTTGCTCTCTATAGCATTGGTTCTTCTTTGAGACTTATTCAAGATATTATCCTCACTTCCATCCCTTTGTTTCATCGCCATAACCATAGACATATCAACCATCTTCCGCTTCCATCATTTATTATTTAAATAGCCTACCTATTTCACCCATACGTTTACCACCTTAACCATCTCTTTGAGCCATTCACTTGTGCAGGTTGTTTGCTTCCTTCCTAGATCCACAATCAATTTGTTAAGGTACAAATGCCTTACATCAAGCGGTAATCAGAGCTTTGGTGGAAGAAAGCAACGTGCAACAACAACAAAAAGAAAAATACAAAAAAAAGTGCAAAGTGAAGTGCAAAGTCAAAGAAATCAAGAAAAATCAGAAAAAAAAAGTGAAGCACTCAAAAGAAAGAAAATTTCAGCACTCAAAAAGAAGAAAAAGCAAAGAAAAGAAAATAAAGAAGTTGAAGCACTCATCAACAATTCTCATCACCAAGCAAGTCAAGTAAGCCGTTTAAATTGATTGTGGTGATAGAAGGTTGTGAACTAACTTGTATAAGTAACCCCTTTTGTTCTTTTCTTTCTATTTCTAAGCTACCCTTTCAATTATATTTTGCATTCCATTCCTACTAACCCTTTTGCAGCCGGCGCCAAACAAGTAAAAATTTACTTGATACAGTTTTGAGCAAAGTCCTCTAGAACTTTGGATAAGAGAATTGAGAGGAAAAAGGCTTGAGCGAGTGTGAGATCAGAAGAGGACAAGTAAAAGCTATTAAGTCCTAGAGTGCAAACATGAGTGGATTGAGTGACATTCAAGTTTCCTTGGAGTGACTCGTGAGGCTTTGTGAGAGTACATTCTGGTAAGGTCTTTTACACATCTTATTCTTTTCTTATTTCACTAACCATGTCTCGAAGTCCAGGACAAACCCCTGAAAGAGATGCCCCTAATTTGCAAACTCAAGCAATCATGCATGAAATGGCTAGATTACTGAAATTAGAATTGGAGCCTTTGCATGATCGTATAGACCAATTTGAAGCATCTTTAGGCAATCGAAGAGTAAATCGTCCTAGAATGGAAGAAGAATTCGAAGAAGAGGAGGCTGAAGTAACATCAGTAGCACGAAGAGATGCTCATCGAAATCAGAATGACAACTTCAGCAACATCAAAGTGACCATTCCTCCATTTCAAGGACGAACTGATCCTGAAGCCTATCTTGATTGGGTAATCAAGATCGAACACATTTTTTAATGCTAAAATTATATGGAGCAAAAGAAGGTCAGGCTTGCTGCTATGGAATTCGTGGACTATGCCTTAGTTTGGTGGGACCAATTGGTGAGTTCAAGAAGACGAAATGGTGAACGCCCCATCAATACATGGGAAGAAATGAAGGCCATTATGAGGAAAAGGTTCGTGCCTACTCACTATTACCGAGATCTTTACCATAAATTACAAAATCTGAAACAAGGAAGCAAGAGTGTTGAAGATTATTTCAAAGAAATAGAGATAGCCATGATCCGAGCCAATGTTGATGAAGACAAAGAACCAACCATGGCAAGGTTTTTATCTGGCCTAAATCCTGATATTGCTAACCTTGTTGAACTTTAACATTATGTAGAGATTGAAGAGATGGTACATGTGGCCATGAAAATTGAAAGCACTCAAAAGGAAATCCTACACTAGGAGCAGTCCAAGTTCGGCCACCAATAGAAGCAAGAGCCTATCACCTTCAGGAAACCAATTACAGCACAAGCAAAGGATCATATAGAAGTTTCCAAAGCAAAACAAGTGGGTGAATCTAGTAAGGGTAAAGAAAAGCAAACCAGTACTTTCGAGAGATCCAGAGACATCAAATGTTTCAAATGTTTTGGGAAAGGACATGTTGTTAGTCAGTGTCCCAACCGAAATGCCATGATGGTACTTGATAATGGAGATATTGTATCGGATTCTGACAAGCCTATTTTTGACGAGGAACCTGAAACAATACAAGACGAAGAAACTGAAGAAAATGCAGATCATGGTGAGATGCTTGTTTCGAAAAGGTGCCTACAATCACAAACATTCCAAGAAGATATTCAAAGAAACAATATTTTGCATACAAGATGCCATGTCAAGGATAAGGTTTGCAAAATGATCATCGATGGAGGAAGTTGCACAAACGTAGCCAGCACCCTTATGATTGAAAAACTTGGTTTGGCAACATCAAAGTATCCCACTCCATAAAACTCCCAATGGCTCAATGAAGGAGGTGAGTTAACGTTACCAACAGGTTCTAATTCCTTTTTCAATTGGTAGGTACAAGGATGAGGTGCTTTGTGATATTGTCCCTATGCATGCTAGCCACATCTTACTTGGAAGACCATGGCAGTATGACAAAAGGGCCATTCATGATTGTTATCACAATCAATACATATTTAAGCATGATGGACGCAAGGTAACCTTGATGCCTTTGAAGCCAAAAGAAGTACAACAAGATCAGTTGCATATGTGAAAGAGTGTACAAGCATGGCGCAAAGACAAAACCTCAATGAAGAATGAAGAGGAACGAAACATGACACCAAACTTCTTAATAGAGAAACACGATGGTTCAAGGCTGGAAAATGAAGGGGCTCCTGCGAAAATTGGTGATGGAAGGAATTTAAAGACACAACTCTTCACCAAGGGTTTTAATCGCCAAAAGGTAAGTAACCCTTCATTTGAAACCTCTTCCAAAAGGGATATCCTTAAAGGAAGATCACTCTCAAAAGGTAATTGTTGGTAAATCATATTCGAAAGAAAGGCCTAAAGAGAAATCTTATGTAAGGATACCTAATGGAAGAACACAACCGTTCAAAGGATGCTTTCTTTTAGCAAGGAGACGTGAAGCTATGCAAGGACAGAATGAACTCGATTTGAGGACAAATCGCCCTAAAGAAGGGGGGATGATGCAAGCACGTTTTCACCTACAAAGGGAGTACTCTTGAACATCTTTATATTGATTTTACTCTATATTAGTTATATACTATATGCTTTTATAATACATTTCATGATAAGAATTCTTGTTATGTAGTTAAAGAATAATTATTATGAACACATCATGCACATTGATATTTAAGCATGTTAGGATAGTCTTATAATCATCATATTAAACATGATTATCTTATATACATCAAGGCAGCATCATTATAATTCATTTCATTAGTTCATATGCATTCATATTAGCTCTTAAGCTTCATGCATTATCTTACACATATTATGAGATGATATATTTAGCTCATGACCTTCAATAATTGCTCACATTGCTATATTCTTACATGGAAGCAAGGTATTTAGCACATAACAGCCCAATATCATGGACTTACCTTGTTTCCTTACACATATAGGTACATTGGAGTGTGATGCACGATGAGGTAGCTTGGTGGATGATTTGGACGTCCTATGCAGCTCACAAATAGCTCACAAAGTACAAGACAGCTCATGGAACAATAAGGAAAGCTCGATTCAGCTGGAGGAGCTTAAGGCTAGCTAAACTCAGCTAGTTGGACTATTTGGAGCTGAGTTTCCAAAAGTGATGTCAAAGGTAGCTGAAGGTAGCTGAACATGTTATGGAGCTCACAAGGACTCGGCTAGGAAGCTTGCTCACGAACAACCCATGCTTGCTAAGCTAGCTCCACACTCAAGCTAGCTTGGAAGGAGACATATGCATGCCCAAGATGGAGTACATGACCAGCCATCATCCCATGCACAAGGCTGCACCACAAGGCTCCCTAGATCACCCATGTGTGTGCCATATGACCAGCCCCCATGTGCCTTGCATGTGGTATCATTTAGGCGCCAAGATGAAGAGCCTTCTCCCTATTCAGCCAAGCAACATCTCCCATCCAATTTGGCGCCAATATGAAGAGAAACAAGAGCTATTCGGCCAAGGGTTATTACCCTCCATTTAAACTGAAGCATCATCTCCATTTGTAATTAAATTATGTCTCTATAGGAAGACACAAGGCTGGTCGAATCCCCTTGTAACCATTCAGCCATGCCTCTCCATTTCCTATAAATAGGAAAGCATATTTCATTTGTAAAGCAGGCCTTTTGATTGATATAAGTGAGATTATTCTCTTCCTTAAGTCCTGGTGACTTTTATCGACTTATCAAGTATTTTATACTTGTGGCGTCAACCCCTTTTCACCTTGATACTTCTGGTTCCTAGTTCTTATAACTAGTGGGTCAAAGTCCTTAACACCACCCCTTGAAGCAATATAAAGTCTAGGTCTTTGCTCTCTATAGCATTGGTTCTTCTTTGAGACTTCTTCAAGATACTATCCTCACTTCCATCCCTTTGTTTCATCACCATAACCATAGCCATATCAACCATCTTCCGCTTCCATCATTTATTATTTAAATAGCCTACCTATTTCACCCATACGTTTACCACCTTAACCATCTCTTTGAGCCATTCACTTGTGCAAGTTGTTTGCTTCCTTCCTAGATCCACAATCAATTTGTTAAGGTACAAATGCCTTACATCAAGAGATTGCCTTCCCGTTGGAGGATGAGCTAATCTTAATATTTTCTTTTCGAATTAAAGGATTTTCCCTAACAAATAATTCGAAGCAAATTAATTAAACTTAAAAAATTGGTCATTTTCTAATTTTATATTCGATTTATATTTTTCACTACCACGACAATATATAAGCGACTAAGTACCAATTTTTTGCGTTGTGGGGGTATTTATCCTTCCTCACACGTAATCGACTTTCGAACTCTTAAAAATGAATTTTTGGATGACGCAGACCAATTTTTGTCTTAAAAAACGATTTTCCTTAAAATTGTTTTAAAAGACGCTTTTAGGTATTCGACCTATCTAACCCAAAGGTCGATGGCGACTCCTATTCAATTTAATTCAAATTAATTCAAAATCGTCATTTTTTCAAAATAAAGTTATAATTATTTTTAAAATTAATTGTTTTAAAAAAAATGGTTATGACAAGAAGGATGAAGATGGTAACACTGCTTTGCATATTGCCACATCTACTAATCAGCCAGAGGCAAGCTTTATATGTATTCATTATTTGCTATAAATGATTTTGAAACACAATTATAGTTAATTAATTAAACTTTTTATATGATTACTCAGGCCGTTAAACTGTTGGCTAAGAATGTAAATGTGAGTGTCATGAACTCCAATGGTTTGACAGCTATGGACATATTTCACCTTCAAGGAACAATGCAGAACTCAGAGATCGGTAGCAGCCTAGGTAGAGCTAAAGCTAAAAAGGGATCCGATCTTACCACGAATTTGACTATAGGGGATTACTTGAGCAGGGAGTTAACTCTAATCGATAAACGTGACAAATATTTCGGAAACGATTCTCAAAATAAATCTACCGAGATTCGTACTATGGTTCTCTTTGTGGCGATCCTGATTGCAACAGCCACCTACCAGGCTGGCCTCAACCCTCCAGGTGGGTACTGGCAAGACGACTACAAACCTTCAGCAGCAAACAATGGTAGCGTTTCCAACCAAAACACCAATACCAACCTGGGGCAGGATCAAAGGCCACATCATGAAGGACAGATAATCATGAGCCTAACTTATCTTTTCCATTTCTTCTCTCTCAACAGTTGTGCCTTTTATTTGTCTGCATGGACCATTCTGGTTGTTATAATTGGTATCCCATATTCCACAACCCTTTACATATCTACATTGCTTCTGCTTCTTTCATATTACGCTTGGACCGTTGGTACCTTTCCATCTCAGTCGAACTCCCCGACTTTCAACGCGGCGAAGACTTTATACGTAGTCTTTATTTATGTATCTGCAGCAACAGCATATGGAATTCCGCTGATAGCTATTTTTCAACATGAAAGGCTTAAAAACCGGGTGGACTCAATAAGAGGAAACAGGGTAGTCGCCTAACTTAAAACATGAACAGCAAACCTATGTACTTGTTTTCTATGTCATATCAGTTGAAATCAGTATAAAAGTTGAGTGAAATGACTCAGCAAGCAAGAAAGAATTTACTAGTATAGTTTGTCAATGTCATTGCCTGGTTGAATGTTGTCATTGTCAAGCTAATATGACTTTTTTATTCAATTTTTTAATCATTTCAGTAAGCTAATGCAACATTTAATTCATTAGCCTACAAGCAACCTCCTCGTTATAAAACGACCAAATTCAGCCCCAGACGGAAGGTGCTCATCTTTTAGCTGAATTAACTAACAAACTCTAAAATAATTTTCTATTCTCAACACTCATCCTCAAGTTATGGCTGAAATTTGAGCCCAACTTGAAAATCAAGTATTCATGTCTCAAAGCTTTTATCATAACATCAGATAAGTAAAAACATATTCAATTTGAATAAGACCTTCTTTAATCTTGTCTTTTACAAAATGACAAACAATATTAATACGTTTGATTCTTTCATGGAAAACTAGATTTGCAGAAATCAGTAAAATTGACCTCGTAGTATGAACACCAAGCTCCCCTAACAACCCTTTTAACCAAAATAATAGCAGTAAGATGTTGCCTTGAATCTTGATTCAGTTTCAATATGAATTGTTTTTTCCGTTAATTATTTAACAAGTTTCATAATAACAGTAAACTTCTGCAAAATGTTATAGTGCTCATTTGCTTTCCTCCGTCTGATCCCGGTGTGACTTGATCAACAAGAATAAATCTTTGCACGTATTATGCCTAAATATGGACCCTCTTTCCACTTCCACTCCCACAACGTAGTTTCTATCCTTGATTAATTATAAAACCATGGATTCGAACCTGAACTCGACATTTACCGAAATGTCCAATCACAGGTGGAACTGGTACATTTATCCTACAAGTGTGTTCTGGAACATAAAAAGTAATCACTTGTCCTCATCTGCTCATTTGTTTAAGCCAATAAAACTGGAAACCAGGTGTTAATCAATCACCACCATACCATAAAACCATGGAAACCAGGTGTTAATCAGCAACATTATTTGACGTGCAATCGCCAAATGGAAAACAAGCAAGAAAAGCCACCAACCCAGTTTGCAAATAAAATACTATTGATAACCGTCGTTTTGCTATCAAAATAATTTTGGCTTCTTAATTAAATAGAAAGGAAAATATAGTATAGTGAAGCAGAGTCGATCCGCAGGGACTATGGTTTTTGTAATTTAGTAAAATTGTTTCTTGATTTTAAGAAAAGATAGAATTCCAGGTAAAGTTAAAAATGTATAATAAAATAAATAATTATAAAAAAGGAAAAATAATAAAATAATAAATAGTAATAGTAATAAATATAAAGGGGACTTTAAAAGTTTTTTTAAAATAAAAGATAAGAATTAAATAGAAGAAAATAATTAAATAAACAAATTAAAGAGATTGAGATAAAGAGAAACTTATTGTGAAAGCAGCTCAGACTTCAGCTTTGTCTCAAATTCCTCTGATCATCGAAACAAATTTTTACTTCAAGATTTACGTCTGCTTACAAGGACAATTCTTTGCTGCCAACTCGGATTATGTCATTTCAAAAATAACTGATTCCGATCTCAGTTTCCTCTTAGCAAACAATTTTGCTAAGTGTGTTCTCAGGAAGTCAAATATGCTTCAATAAGCAAATCCTTCTTCAAACGTTAACCATAACAATATCTAGACCAATGTCGAAAACGTTTTGATTTGAAAAGTATGCTCAGAAAACAGAGAGAAAAATCTGAAGCGATTTAAGTACCTTACAATTCTAACGTTTGGAATTGAGCCTTCGTTTCAGTCTTCGGCTTGAAAGAAAATTAGCTAAGTATGACCAAAGTCATACTTAGCAATTGTTGAAAACGAAATTTAAAGAAAAATAAAGGGGTATGCGAAAAATAGAGAGAAAACTAGAGAGGAAAAGAAGATTTTATTATCAGATGAGAGAGATGTGTTTCTAGGCTCACCCTTAGAGGGTATTTATAGCCTTCAAATTCATAAAAACAAGCTAAAACATCTTAAATCATAATTAAAACACTTAAAACTATTTAAACTAAAATACCTAAAACAAAGATAAAATATAAAAATAATATCCTAGAACTTAATTAAAATACTAAAACCTATTTAAACTAAAATACCTAAAACAAAGATAAAATATAAAAATAATATCCTAAAACTTAATTAAAATACTAAAACCTATTTAAACTAAAATACAAAGATAAAATATAATGTTTAAAATATTATCCTAAACTTGAGTTTAAATCAAATCCGAATTCCAGAAACGTGCTGCTAATCCATTCGTGCTTCTATTCCGAATTCACGTCCACTAATCCAGCTTCTATTCCGAAAATAAAAAAATTGCAGAATTCTATCCTTTTTGTGCAATTTCCAGAATCTGACGTCCTGCACAGAAAATGAATCAAAACGAACAATTAACCCACAAAAACCAATGATTAAAGAGTAATTTAAAAGCAAAATATTAACTAAATTAAGCAGTTATGAAATTATCCCTCACTTATTCAATGCTTGTCCTCAAGCATTCATCAATTAACATATCAAAATCATAAATTGTCATCTCAATTTCAACTTATTTCTCAAACTTCCAATCGAACTAAGTCCATGATATTTGTCGAATTCAAGTTACAATCAAGCAAAGATACAACAAAGAAAATTTAAAGTAAGCATGATATCACAATTAATTGCCAACTTCAATGAAACATGACTCGATACCTCACAAAGATTCACACATATCCGCTCAAAGTGTATGGGGTAAATGAAATCGCTCAAACCGAAACTAACTAAAATATTTCCGTAGGCTTGGAATCCAATCAAGTATCTACTACGAAAAAATAACATAATGCAATAATCAAGGGGTCTTTAAACAAGGTGTAACATGGCTTACGTTAGGGTATGGAAAAGGTCGAAAAGAAAGGTTTAAAATTCCAAAACTAGATATTAAAATAATTAAGAACAATCCACGAATTAACATGAAGCGCAATGAAGAACAAAACATGGAAAAAAGAATAGATGAAATACAATTGAAACGATTGATTTTTCCTTCCTTTTTTCGGACAAGGGTATGTTTTTTTCTGCTCTTCGAAACAGTGAACAACTTGTAAAACAAAGAAAGGGAAATTGGCTCAAATTTGGTTCACTAGTGGATATATAAACGTGTATGCTTTTTTGGGAAAAGTGGATTTATCATAGGTGCCCCTATCACATTACATTACGTTCAACATGTAGTCTCGATATGCATTGTGATTACAAGTTCTAGAATATCCTAATAAGTTCAGCACACACAAGTCAAACAATGAGCAAGAAAGAAAATGTATGCTCGTTAGGCCCAAATCTCACAAGAAAAGTTTATGTGCATTGAGTCATGTTCATCTCTATCGACAAAAGCATGAAATATCAATACTCAGGAAAAATTCACTAGCTATATCAATCACCAATCATGCAAATTAAATTCGATCAAAAACATGGTCATAATACAAAATGAAGCAAGAGTATAAAGCGAAATTCAAGACTAACAACCAACGATCTCAACATATCAACATTAGAATAACTCAATTTCAAACAATTAAACAAATCATGGAAAAATTTGACGACATGTTTTTCCTTCCCCCCACTTATTTCATTTTGTCCCAAAACGTATATCAAATTTAAAAACAAAGAGAAGGAAAAGGAATACTCCCCAATCTAGTGACGACCACGGCCACGTCGACACGAGTTGTTGTAGAGTATAATGTTTGATACTGCACTGTTCTATTCAAACTTTTTCTGCACAGTTCGAACCAAATCTATTTTTTTCTGTACTGCATTGTTCGAATCTGCTGTGTATTTTTCTACACTGTTTGAACCAAATCAGTTTTTTTTTTGCACTGTTCTGTTCGAATTTTTCTGCACAATTCGAACCAAGTTAGCTATTTTTTTGTTAAATATTCGACCGAAAAATAAAATAAAATTACTAAAAATAAAATAAATAGAATGAAATAAAGTTCGCTGAAAATAAAATGAAATAAAACGAAAATAAAATGAAAATAAAAACAAAAATATAATGAAATGGGTTGACTCCTATCAAGCGCTTTTGTTTAACGTCGTTAGCTCGACGACCTGATTTTTCAAAGTGTGGGTTCCTCTAAATCGATTTCTTAGATTAGACCAACTGGAGCATTTTCATAATATGGCTTCAATCTTTGACCATTAACTTTAAATCGTACTCCCGAGTTATCTTCAATTTCAATAGCACCGTGAGGAAATACTTGAGTAACTGTAAATGGTCCGAGCCATTTTGATTTGAGTTTTCCTGCAAAAAGTTTAAATTTGGAGTTAAATAATAAAACCTTTTGACCGACTGAAAAAGTTTTAAAAGAAATCCTACTATTGTGAAATTCTTTTGTTATTTTTTTAAATATCCTAGCATTATCATAGGAATTTCTTTGGATTTCCTCAAGTTCTTGAATGTGTAATTTCCGAGCTTCACCAATTGCATCCATGTCCATGTTACATTGTTTAACGCCTCAATAAGACCGATGTTCTAACTCAACCGGTAAATGGTATGGTTTACCGAAAACAAGCCGGTATGGTGACATCCAAATGGGATCTTTATAAGCGGTTCGATATGCCCAAAGTGCATCAGTTAATTTTAAACTTCAATCTTTTCGGTCCGGTTTAACAATTTTCTCAAGAATCGTTTTAATTTCCTGATTTGATACTTCTGTCTGTCCATTTGTTTGTGGATGGTAAGCAGTAACAATTCTTTGAGTTGCTCTAAATTTCTTCATTAGCGACTCGATCACTCAGTTGATGAAATGTGTTCCTCTGTCGCTTATTATAGCTCGTGGCATGCCAAACTTGGAAAAAATATTTTTCAAAAAATTAACTATAGTTTTAGCATCATTATTCCGAGTAGCCTTAGCTTCCACCATTTAGAAAAATAATCTACATCTAAAATAATATAAGTATTTTCA